AGACTTATTATTATAATACGATAAAATAAAATATAACTATGTTTCGACCACAACCTTTTCAATTTTATTGTTTTCGTCTTACGAATTTTCGATTAGGTTGCGTGTCCTGACGCGAGTTTAACATATTTTACCCATAGAATAAAAAAGTGTACAAAGCCACTAAAGAAGTTTTCACTTCAAAAAAATTATTTCTTTGAACAGAATATCGGCAATTTTGCGGCAAATGCTTAGTTGCCAACCCATTGTTAAAAATTTATTCAGAATAATGTATGACACTCTTTACTCATCTTGCTGAATGCACAAAAATGGACAAAAACTCATATACACATATATATACTCTTTTTTCTGGCAGCCGAATAACAAAGACTATGAGCTCCTTTCTTCTAATAACCAATTGCGGGCCCGACGGGTTCCATAATGCTCATATTTATATACACGTAAGTACCTACCACCCACATATTATTGTTGCAATCAATGATTTGAGTTTGAGCGCTTGTTAATGAGACGATTTTTACCCAGTTCTAGGCGTAGATTTAAACCGTGTCTATGTCCGGTCGTCAGTTAAGTATGGGACAGCATGGAGGTTTTTTAAAGACACCGGCGCTAGCGACGGTCTCAGGTCGGTACAAATGTACAAGCCATGCTTGTGAACAAGCGTTGCCGACACCGGCCCAGGTAGAAACCGTGCCTAGACGCGACGGAAATCTGGTCGTTAACAATCGCCATTAGGACGTGTGGTTTCATCTATAGTTTTACCATAATTAAATCCTATAGAAATAAAAAAAGCGAGTGTGCTTATGACCACACGACTGAAGTGAAACTTCTTTAGCTCCAATGATCTGAAAATCATAAACGTGTGTTCATAGAAAATAATCACCAATCCGCGCTGGGTCCGTTATCGCCCTCCAATCCGCGCTGGGTCCGCAATCACCCTCCAATCCGCAGTGAGTCCATTAACAACCACCAATCCGCGATGGGTCTGTTATCACCCTCCAATCCGCACTGGGTCCATTAAAACCCATCAATCCACGCTGGGTCCGTTATCACCCACCAATCCGCACTGCGTCCACTATCACCCGCCAATCCGCGTTGGGTCCGTTATCACCCACTAATCCGCACTGGCTCCGTTATCACCCACCAAAGAAGAAAGAAAGAAGTTTGACTTCAAAAAAAACATTTATCAAAGTTTAAGACAATTACTGTGTATTTGACGTGGCATGAACTATAAAAAATTTAACTATGTATCAAACAATGCCGTCTTAAGGTCATCAACATCCATCAAGCATCTGCACCGCCCATCATCACAGTGCGAAAGCTGTCACACGGGGATTGTCACGTGACTAATAAGCTATTAAGATAGCCCTTTTGTCCTAAGACATATGTTTCAAAATGCAATGCCGTCCAGCCCTCCCTAATGCGGTCCGATTTGTAAATGCTCTATGGGCGACTTATCTTTCCTCTCGACTGTACAATGAGCAATCAAACTTCGTAATATATTATCTAACTTCCATAACTAGAGTTATGAGAGGTAGGGCATAGCCGATTTTCCGCTCGATTTGAATCGCCCGCTGGGGAAGTGTCCTCGGTTTGAGTACATCAACCGAATAACAATATATTTAAGTTGGTATAAGAACTTCCTTTATTATTGTTATACTTCATAATGTTAAAAGGGTGGCGAAAATGCATATGGCCCCTCTGAAACTAAGCGGTGGCTGGCTTGATTAGACCCAGAAACAGCATAGTTCAGTATACAATTATGTAGTACTAGTTGTTCCCCGCGGTGTTACTCGCAGTTTATTAGGCATATTTTCCCGCAGTAAAACGTAGCCATATGTTAAGGATCCAAGGTATCAGCTAACTCCATACCAAATTTTATTAAAATCGCTCCAGCGTTTAGATGTGAAGAAGTAACAAACATACACACTTACAAACTTTCGCCTTTATAATATTAGTGTTTTTATATTTTATTAAGAGGGCAAACATAAAACTGAATAATGACTATTACTTAGTACTTACTAAGCCTTAGTAGTTAAGTATTATAAGTAGTAGTTTCTTGTTTGTATTACTATGAGCATTGTATTTTAGAATGTTTCGCTAGATTAGCAAAATCAGGTTTGTTGTTGGAAATTGGAAACCTTAAAGAATCAAACGTATTAGCGTCTGTCAAGCGAGAACGGTGTTTATTTTTTGTTTGTAAGTAGGAAAAAGCTGACTCACTTAAATATATAAACACGGATGCAGTTGTTCGACACATTTCTTGAAATTTGGATATTTCTCGTTGGAGACAATGCCCAGACCTGAGGATGACCTTGGTTTTAGAAAGATGTCCCTGCGCAAAGTAATTATTATTGTGGTCCATTTGAAATGTATCTGCAATTTTTTTAGCCATATCATAGATATCACTATAGGAGAGAGGATGAAGATGACGTGTGCAGTAGTTGGTGATTACGATGCTTTTTTTTCCAGTTTATATACTATTGGTCGCAGGTGACCTATACAGCGTCACCGGGTTTGGGGACGGCGAGATCATAAAGGGACCTCAAGCCGAGAATTGACGAGTGCCTCTAGAGGTACTCCAGGCGGATGGCATCTCCCCTGGGGGGAGTCTCCTCTCCGTCTGGAGCCGATTACGATGCGCAGTCTGTTCTACGTATTTATATTTTTTTCCTTGCCACGATCGACTGAACTAATAGTCGCGATCGACTGGTTGGCCACCCCTGCTATAGACGCTTCTGATGCCAAAATTTTCACTCAAGCTGTTGTCTACCCTGATCCCATTCTCAACCTCGTGAACCCAACCCTTAACTTGCACCAAAAAAGATTTATATAAAGGACATGGCTAAGAAACTGCCCTAAACGTGTATAAATATTTCGCACTAGCCTCTAACTTTACAATATTTTTTTATTAATTATTACGTGTTTATTATTCTCATACAACTTTCGTGAAATAATCAAATATTTAAAAGTATAAAAATTGACTTCCATGTCTGTTTAAACGTTTATATCGAAATAAACAATATTAGTCATAATTTTTATTATTTTTAAAGCATGGAACTGCTTGATGTTTAAATCTAAAGAAAATATAACTAGAAAAAATAATAAAAATTATGACTATAATTGCTATTTCTTCTTTCAAATGTTTAATACTTGTAAAAGTATTCATTTGACATTGTGGGTTTACCTATAATGCGAAGAGATGGCGCTGCCTTGCAGCTTAAGAATAGCTAGAAGAAATTTCGACGCGGTCCGTGAGGGCCGCGGTAGCATAATTGGTCAGTGCATTCGCCCGGATTGCGAAGGGTGCGGGTTCGAGTCCCGTCTGCTGCCTGGTCCGCGTGGAATTTTTTCTAGTTATATTTTCTTTAGATTTAAACATCAAGCAGTTACATGCTTTAAAAATAATAAAAATTATAACTATAATTGCTATTTCTTCTTTCAAATGTTTAATACTTGTAAAAGTATTCATTTGACATTGTGGGTTTACCTATAATGCGAAGAGATGGCGCTGCCTTGCAGCTTAAGAATAGCTAGAAGGAATTTCGACGCGGTCCGTGAGGGCCGCGGTAGCATAATTGGTCAGTGCATTCACCCGGATTGCGAAGGGTGCGGGTTCGAGTCCCGTCTGCTGCCTGGTCCGCGTGGAATTTTTTCTAGTTATATTTTCTTTAGATTTAAACAATATTATTTCTAAACTCCTTCAAAATATGACATATTTGGCCCCAATTTTTGTTACAACAAATCACGGAAGGCCTAAAATAATAGATTTTATTATTCTGATTAGGCTTGAGACGAGGCTGTATGATAATTAATCCTTTAATTTTTGCAAATGGACACAATAAAACTTCACAGATTTCCTGTCAGGCCAACGATAACAAATTATTTGTATTTATATTTGCTTTAAAGAAACTTTTTGTGAAGAGTTAATCAGAGAAATGGGAAGAAAGGATCTAATAAAATGCGAAATTAATGACTCTGTAAATAATTGTCAACGTCTTTTATCAACTGTAGTAAGTTCTCATAATTTTCAAGATTGTGAATTTATCAAAAGTTCCTGAGCCTTTTTTCATAGAAATTATAAATATTCAGCCATTTACCATTCAATATTTCTAAGTACAGTATTTAGACATTGCTAGGGCAGTCGCTCATACAAAATTTTACCATGTCCTTTGAAAGCCAATATTTGACTGTTACGCTTTTACACCTACACCGCGAATTGATTCCGATCAATTTCAGGGCTACGTTCCAAACCTATACTCAGAGTGCAACTTTTTACTGTGACGTTAAAATTTTGACATAAAATGTATGGAACTTATGTAAATTTTGACATTTGTTGCACCTAGAGAACGGTTTGGAACGCATCCCAATATGGAGAAATGAATACAAGTACATTTTAAGGTTAAAATTTTATTTGTAACCAGGTTAAAATTTGTACGATTAAAAATTGGCGATGAAAATATGAAACTTAACCACCCACTAGTAACAAAAATTTGACATCATTTAGAAAAGTAAATACAACATCATCACGAACCGTCGATAATAATTGCACACTACATAGGTGGCTGAAAATCACCAAGGTGGAAAATTCTGAATTCTATTTTATGATGGTATAGAGTAGAAGCTAAATATATTGATAATTACTCTAAATCATAACTAAACTTATGTTTAAACTATATTCACCTTGGCAGAGCATAGAATTAAATACTTTTGAAATTTCAATTTTTAAGTGTGCTATCACTAAAATTAATCATTCGGGGAACGATATTCAGAGGTTTATAATTAAATAAAAAAAAACATATATATTTCATTTTTACCCTTAACGATAACGGAGATACGTCGCCAATAGTAGGAAATTAAAAAACTATGACAAAATTTGGAATTAAAACGTTTTTAAGGACAATGTCGCTGTAAATTAAGCTATATGACTATTTCATGTTCTTAAATTTACAAAATAAGTGAATATCGCTCACTTTCATATAAATAAATCTGCGGTAGCTACAGGGATTCAGCCTGTTTCCAATATTACCAGGCTTTATTCCTAAATAACTTATGGTATAATGGCATTTCTTTGATTTTAGACGTGTTCCCCGAAATGATGAGGGCGTTCATCAAATCACGATATACAGACAATTAGGGTTTAATTCACAGTTAAATTGAATAATAAACCAAATTATAGGAAGTAATTGTTATTTATTTATTTGCTATAATATTTATTCTTAACAATAATTTAATCTTAACTCAATTAATTCACTTTTTTTAGTCTCATAGCCAAGTAAAACTCTTAACGTTAGTGCTTTAACTGAACATGAAAGGAGGCTTTCTGTTTCTTAATCCCGTTTTTCTTTACGAAATCTCTCTTGGCTGGACACACCCTACTGACATCATCTCTTTTGAAGAACTCTTTGACTTTTTCGCGAACTTCTTTATTCAAAACAACCTCATGAATTTTGGCGTCAGATTTGAGAATAGTACTGGTTTGGCAACTACTACTCTTTTGGCAAAAAACTATTAACCTTATGAAGCAATTTGTATTGCATTACCATAATCCCGCTAACACATTTTTGAAAAACTACCCTCTCTTTGGAATTTGTTCTCAAAGTATTGGCTTTATCTTGTAATTGGGCAGTCAATACTTCGTTAAATAAAAGATTCTTGCGAACTTCAGGAGGTACGTCAACGTTTTCTCACAATGCGTTAACTTTGCTATTGGGAGTTGTAGGGTTCTGAGATTTCACTTCTTTTCTTTTTACTTATCTTCTTAATCTTTTCTTTAAAGTGTCATATTTGCGTTTAATTTTAGCAATGGTTTTCTCTTGTTGTTTTATTTAACGATATGCTTTGGCTCTATCCTTCCGCATAATTTGTCTTCCTACTGTTTTTCTCACTGAACTTGATGCAGCTAGATCATCATCGAAATGTGGCGGTGTATTGTGTAATATGCCAGATAATGCCTTCTACTTTTCTCTGTATTTTTTTGTAACTTCTTTCCATATTTTTATTTGCTTTCGCTTTTCTCGTTCAGTCATCTCAGCTATGTTCTTCACTTTCTTTTCTTGTTTTTTTTTATGATAGTATTTTCTGCCCTTAGCCCTTTTAATATGCTTCTCTTCCTCTGTCATGTTGTCTAAAAATTTTCTTTTTTTGCCATTAGCTTTTTCTCGTTGGCACAAGTAAGCTGTACTGTTTTTCTTTATTTGCTTTTTCGAACGGTTTTTTTCAGCTTTGTGAGACTCCATATTGCTGTAAAAATAAAGTAAGTATACCTATTGATAACTTTGTAAGCACGACATACACAAAATTGACACTTAGTAATAGAAAGTACCACTTAGTAACTAAATAGTCATTTGGGGAACAACAACATCATTTAGAGAACGGGACATCAAATCGGAGAACGTTCCCCAAATGACCGTTCACCAAATGATATTTTCAAATAACCGCGCCTTTTTTAAATGGCAGCCATATTTGACAGCAATTCTTGCTTCCTTAATGTAAAATATTTGATTTTAACATTTCTTATACAACACTATAAAAACTATTATTGCATTATTTTGATTGAAAAACGCGTTCCCCAATTGACGACCTATTGATGTACGCTCTGTAAATAATGAATTGAAAGACACTTACCACTTATTTTAATTTCTTTTGGCAAACTATTTTCTTCACAGCCACTTTGTTTACAACTTTCTCTACAGCTGTTCCATAGACTAAAGAGGGATGCGTTCGAATTTTTTTGTTTCGCGTAATCAAAGCTGCGTTCACTAGCATGATGCTTACATTGTCGTACATTATATTTTGACTTAGATTTTTTAAATTCGTTTTTCTTCTTTATTAATGCTTGCAATAATGTAATATTAGATACAATTGAAGGTGAATGGGTATTAATAACCGTTAAAAATGTTTTATTTTATGACTATTTCTGGTGTTAGCTTTTAAGAATTGCTACTTAGGACGCGTTCTCCAAATGATTTTTTGTACTTATTTGTCCATATAAAATGTAATATATAATACTTTTTAATTATTTTGTGTGATGTGTGGTTGAAGTAAACTCAGTTAAGTGTTTACCAATGCTAAAATGTTAAAAAAAATACAGAATTTAGGCATTTATTTGCTGCCGAAGTGGATTTACCACCTTGGTGATTTTGAGCCAGGTACATAAGCTTCTAATAGTTCCTGGATCAAATATTTACAATGTTATTATTTAACTTGTTCCAAAATAGTTGAATTGCGTTTCGACGTTTGTTTGCGTTATTGTTTTGTTCAGTTCATCATAAATTAACATCTTGTTGATTTTATAACGTAAGTCCGGAGTGAAACAAATGAAATGTATAAGGCACTATATACTTCTTATATAGAAAACTATAACAATATTAAAAAAAAACAAGACTGACGACCACACGACTGAAGTGAAACTTCATTAGCTCTATCTGTATGTATATACCTAGTCAGGTCATAAATTCTGTCACATGTTTAATATAAAATAATTGAAACAAGTTTATTCATTATGTAACCATTTATATACCAAAATGAACTTAACAAAACATAGATTCTTATGACAATAAAGTTTATTCAAAATGACCCCCGTGTTTTTGAATACAGGCCTTCAATCATATATATATATATTTGTATATATATATGGGTTTGTGTGTGTGTGTGTGTACAATATATACATGTATGTACATATACATATTTCCTTTACTAGCTATAAGAGAAAGAGAGAAAGAAAATTATATCCCCCACTCAACACCCGTTCGCCTCGCCCGAACACACTTTTCGTAACGCGCGACTCATTCGCCAGTTTACCCCCAAAGTCAAGCGTGCGTAAAGAAGTTTTACTTCAAAAATATGTGAAGCATCCATTACGGAGGTTTGAGAGCGGTTGTTAAGTGGCGACGCTCGCATTGGCAAAGACAAGCTTGAGGATTGAGCGATAGTAATATGCACCGTTATTTGGTCAACATTATTGAAAACTCCGCATTAATTTGAGGGAAAAGTGTATAGTGTCCCGACCCTTAAAAGATATACACATGCTATTTCAGACTTTTCGAAGTGATAACTTCTTATGGGAGGGTGTTAAACCGCTTCGTTATGTAACGCGTTACGGAGCCAGTCTGTTGCCGCTTAGATTAGTTTAAATATCACTTCTGTTGTGCGTCCCGAGACTCTTTTTTAGGGTTCCGTGGTCCCTTAGGAACCACAAGGAACCCTTATAATTTCGTCATGTCCGTCTGACTGTCCATCCCCGGTTTTGATCGGAGACTTTTACAGAATAAAATTTTGAAAAAACCTTTTTTTTAGGGTAGCTGCGTACTTATAACCTGGATGGATTTTATTTTTTCATCATCTGCCCCATTGTGTGGGGTATCGTCGTTCTTAAATCGAAATATTTAACTTTAAAGTGCAAGTTTTTGTTCGTGTAGGACGCCCCCCCCCCCCTCTCAAAGCTAAACTATTGGCTTGAAAAGCCTGGAAAAATTCAAGTTAATGGTACTTTTCATGAACTTTTAAGGCAAATTATAAAGGTTAAAATAGATTAGTTAGTTTAAGAGTAATTGTCGTTCAAGGTACAATTACATGTACATATTATAATGTACATATTACAAAATTTCTGACCTAATAAAAATCCTTAGAAGAAAACATGACAAGTGGCTTAGAAGAAGTAATTGCTTAAAATATAGTCTCTTTCCAAAATATATTTACAGAACCCAATACTGCGCGTGGCACGAGACGCACTTGGCCAGTTTTTTTTATAGAACTTTTATAGGGAAACTATTCCGTGACGTGTTTTTTGTGTAAATTTTACCGTTTAATACGATCAGCGAAAATTCTCAAATGGAATATGTTCCCTCGTTTTAGAATCATTTTTTATTTGTGCTCCGCTCCTATTAGTAGTACTATTATGATATATAGCCTTCCTCGACAAATGCACTATCCAACATAAGTGGAATTTTTCAAATTAGACCAGTACTTTCCGAGTTTAGCGCGTTCTACCAAACATAGAAACATACAAACAAACAAACTCTTCAGCTTTATATTAGTACTAGCTGTGCCCCGCGGTGTTGCCCGCGGTTTATTAGGGATATTTTCCCGTAGTAAAACGTGGCCTATGTGTTAATTCAGGGTGTCAGCTAACTCCATACCAAATTTTATTCAAATCGCTCCAGCCGTTTAGACGTGAAGAAGTAACAAACATACACACTCACAAACTTTGGCTTTTATATTATGATAGTGTAATTATGATATATAGATATAATAACTTATGATCGCTTGTAATAATTATAATCGAGATTATCTCACTTGAAAATCTCAAAATATATAGCTCTTATTTAAACCTTATAAAATTGTTATTAATATCAAATCTATATTTACTGATGACACATTTAATAGACACACCAACCGATCGCTCTCTATAAATCGACAGCTAATTTAGTTATCTTTGATCCCATGGTTGTTTGGCAGTAAAATTGGCCGTGAGGCGTGCAGACAGGTAAAGGTCAATGCTCACTAAAGTCATCCGGTACCCAACTCGGGTGTCGATTTTGCTAGGCTCACATAAAAATCATGTGTCATTCAATATTTATTATTTAGTTCTTGTTACTAAGGTCTACTTACAGCAAATTTGCTACATCTCGATTTAACTAGAACTAGTCCATACAATGATGTCAAAATGGCATTGATGTTTTGTCATTTTTCTTGAAGAAAATTTCCTGTAAGTGTACTTTAAACACAAAATAACAAATAATGTATAGAACAAAAGAGAAGCACATCGTATTAAACTAGACAAAGTATGTAAAGTGTAATCTCACAGACCGACTTGACTTTGATTTTTTTTATCGGGCAAAACTGAGTACACTTGTCAAAATTTGTATTTTTTCATGTTAATTTAATAACAAACCGTAAGAATATATGGCACATTTTTAATAGTGGTTATCTGAAGAAAGGAACTTTAAACGAATATTTGAATGACAAAACGGCGCGTGGTCGTAACTGCACCTTTGTTTTTGAAATTCTTTGCCGTGTCATACAGATAAATGACCTTTCTAAGTGAATATGTTGCAGTTTGGTTTGGGTGGTTAAGAGACACTCTTAAAAATCTCTTCAGTGGTGGGGTCGCTACGTCCCCTAAAATATGGTTGTGCGAAGCGATGGCTGGTGTGAAGTGATGGTATGCATCATGATCGTGATATACTACCAGCGGAGATGAGTCTGCTCTATTCTACTTTATTATTGTAATAATAATTAATTAATTAAGTTAATTAACACAATTTGTACTGTATGATGCTCTCTTAAAAATGTCTTCAGCGATGTCGTCTGAGGCGGGTCATTACGTTCCTTAAAAATGGTTGAGCAAAGCGATGGCTGGTTCATACGTCATGGTCGTAAACGGGTGCTACCAGCGGAGCTAAGTCTGCTCTTGCTACTTTCTCGGCGTATTTGACGATATGTTGTGCACGATTGTGTGTGAGAGAGTGTGAACATGATACCATGTTAAAGAGACCTTTATCCTACTTTCCTACTATTACTACTATACATTATAATATACTATTACTAGAATATAATAATTGTGAAAGTTTCTGTGTTATGATTGTTGATTGTTAATCACGCAAAATCTACTGAATGTATTTAGATGAAATTTGGTATACATTAGTAGTTTAGGACCTAGATTGAGACATAAAATAATTCTTTCTTCCGGAAAAATCATAGGTTCCTGTACAATTTTCAAAAACCTAAAGTTTATGTGATAAATATTTTTTAAACTTGATATTTTTTTTCACGCGGGGTGTTGTAGGGCTATTAAGTGACTCCAATGTGAAATGACCTTTAATTCGTTAACACTCCGCCGGCCAGTTGTTACCGTTGAAATACGGAGATTAAATAAAAGAATGTTTTTGGGAGATTTGCTGAATTGCCTCCTTAATCTTTAAGTGTTTGTTTTAGTATTTAGAAGATCGTAACCCGGACAGTTAAACTGCAAACAAAATGTCTTAATGTTGAAGAACGCAACGTATTTTTGTGTCCAGTAATAAAAATCCGATTTGGCGAATATTTCTATTCCTACACAAAAAAATTTGGTGACTCATTTCTTTGTCGTACTATTCGTAAGTGGAAATCTTTGCCCGCGCACGTGTTCCCTCCTTCCTACAGTCTGGGGTCCTTTAAGAGAAGCGTGCAAAAGCATTTTTGCAGGCTGGCAAGGTGAGGATGATTGGTGTGGCAGTTTATAACTGCTGTACCAGCTATTTTCGCATTTGGACTTCGTATATCTCAGTAATGGTTTGATTATGTGAATAAAGAAAATTTACGTTTCTTTTGATAATCTACCTGATAGACGAAGAAATAAAAGTTAGTCATCATCTCTGTTGTAGGAAACAAGTATTGATTATAAAGAAAATTTTACGAGAATAAATTCCACGGGGACCAGGCAGGACTCGAATTATTTATAATGGTTTTATATCTAAAAATCAACAGATGATTAACTTAATAATATTATATTTTACTTGTCTTCGAGCAACTAATACCTAAAATATGTGATTTAGTTAATATCTACCCATTACCCCCCTACCAATACCTATCCCAGCTTTCGTTAAAAGCACTAAGTCCGTCATTTATACACTTTCAAGTTTACACTAGTTACACCGTGTTTTGTTCATACCTCTCAAATCAATATCATCATCAGCCTATTAATGTCGCCACTGCTGGGTCACAGGCCTTCCCTATGGATAGAATAGGGAGATAAGGCCATGACCCACCACGCAGGCCCAGTAAGGATTGTCGGGTGCTAACGACTGTAGATGCAGCTAGGACCAACGACATGGAGGAACT